CTGTAACAATATGTTCGAATAAACAGACCTGAGGCATGACCTCACCTTAACTCCAAAAAAAAAAAAAAAAAAAAAATCAAAATATGGCTGAAGCATTATATAGATTGCTAGATACTATTAAACTTAAAACTATCTAGTAGTAAGAATTAGAAAAATCATGCAAAAATTTTACATTTGCAAATGCATTATTATATATTATAGCTATTAATTTCAAAAGAATTTTATTTTTTTAAAGACAATTCTCTATAGCATTTACAATTGCAACACCTATATGCAATTTCTCCATATGAACAAAATCTAGTAGAATGTGTTTCATTTTTTATAACACATTTAGATAGTGAACTGTAATCATCATGAATGACTTTTCATTAGTCAAAGTTGTCCAGATATCAGTTGTTATTAATATACACCCAGGAATTTTTTGAAAACTTTTTTGAAGCCATTCATGTTTTTCTTTCACATTGTTCATAATATGTATCTTTATAATATCAGCAGAAAGTACTAAAGAAACTCATAAGTATTTATATTTTTATTTTACTATTAAATAAATTAATTTAAATACTTTACTATTACCTACTACACAAGGTTTTAAATAAGTAAGTATCTTCCTTAGTTCATCATCTTCAATAATTAAAAATGATCGATTATGTTTTACAATCTATTTTTTTAACAAATCAGTAAGCTTTTGTTAGCTAAAGGGTTCATGATGATAGCTTTGATTATTCAACATATCTAAAACACTTGGACCTACTTCTATACCCTCTTCTACACTTGATTCTCTCAATTCAGGCACTTTTGCTTTATGCCTCTTGAGATGTTTTAGAAGATTTGATGTTGTTCTGTCATTATATGTTAATGTAATATTGCAAATACTGTATACTGCATTACCTTTATTTTTTTTAAAATACTTCCACACAATAGATCTATGAAATAAAAAAAAATTAATAAAATAAAGGATGTCTATATAATATTTGACATACTTTACTCTTGAGATGATGATTCATTAGAGTGTGATTCGTCAGGACATTCTTCAGGACATTCTTCAGGATGATCTTCAGGATGCTCTTCAGGACACTCTTTAGAGCACTCTTCAGAGTGTTCTTTAGGGCATTCTTTAGGGCATTCTTTAAAGCATTCTTCAGGGCATTATCTAGGTATAATTCAGCTTGGTATGACTTATTTAAATATAATTTATCTTGGTAGAATTCATCTACATATAAATCATCTGAATTCAATTCATTTTTATACAATTCACCTGTGTATTGAAGTGATTCACTTTCTTGGAATTCTTGGAAAAGGGCCAACATGGTTAGCCTTCTTCAAATGCATGAAAGTAGTAGAAAGTTGATTAGTATTTCAATCAGAAGATAATTTTTCCAGCTGTAAAGTTTTATAAAGCATAGTTTTACATACAATCTTGGCTTTGTTTAAATTTTTTTTTTTTTAATTAAAAAAAAAAAAGAGGTTATAGTAAAAGGATGAAAAAAAACTTCAATAAAAAAAGCAGCAATAAAAGAAAAGTCACAAAAAATAAAAAACCTTAAAAAAAAAAAAAAAACAAACAAAAAAAAGCTGCAAAAAAAAAAACTAACTAATTGCATTAGAAAAGTGTTAAATGCAAATTTGGTAAAGAAAAAAATCGAATTGTAATATGGTGCAAACAGCTTAGTCATATCAAATATTTTATTATAAACTTAAAATTGCAAAAACTTTTTATCTAAAAGTTTAATTACAAAAAAACTATATATATTTGGATAGCTTTTAATGAGATCTATTAAACTATATATTTAGTTTTAAGCTTTTTTAAACTTTTATTAGAATAAATTTACTTTTTAAAAAATACATCAAAATTTCAGCACTAATATAAAAAAATTAAAAAACATATAAAAAATTTAACCAATCTAATTTATTTTTATAAGTAATGATTAGCAAAATTTTTAGTACTATTATAAAATTTTGATGTGACTAGACCATTCACACTATAGTAATATTAAAAAAAAGCACAACCAATCAGCATTCGATATCATGCAATATTCTTACAGATCCGAATTAGGTATACCTGATCTGATCCCACTGTGGATCCGAATTTTATACAAATCCAAAAATAAAGAATTTAAATTCAATCTATAAGTAGATCTGGATCGGATCTGGATCAGGTCCAAATCTTTTTCAGAACACTAAATATTAATATATGTTGCAAATAGACTAAAGATTTTGGCAAAACCAGTTTAATAGATTATTTAAAAATTGAAATAGAAGGATATCAGTTTTTTTATTAATAAGTGCTTTGATACTTTCATAAATAGTAGAAGTAAAGGTTCTAGTAATGATATATAAAATATGTTTAAATTAAGGATTTGGTGTATTGAATATAAAATTTAAAAAAATATTTAGTAAGGTTGTTGAAGTTATGTTAATAATTTTTAGTAATATTAGAGTATCTTATATTGTATTTTTAATTAATTGTAGAATGTTTGTAGTATTACTAGGGCATAAGAATAAATGAAAAGTATCTTCAATATTTGTACAGTGAGAGCAGTTTGAAGTAATATAGAGATATAGGTAACAGATATTAAGGTTTTGCATAGTGAGTAAATTATTAGTAAAAATTTTGGTATAAAAAGAGTATTTTTGTAAATTATTTTTGAATAAGGAAATGATTTTAAATTTTAATAACCATTTGATGTTTATAATGTTTTAAAAGAATTTTAAGTTTGACCATTTGATAATTTTTTAAATAGTTATAGAGTTATTGATAAAGATGTGAACTTTAATAGAAATTAGGTAGTTATTCTATATAAAATAATTTGAAGTATTAAAATTTGAGTTGTTAATTTTAAGAATAAGTTTTGTAGTTTCTTGTTTAGCAAATAAATCTGCTTAGTTGTGAAAAGAGTTTGTAGAGTGTGAATTAACTTTATGAAAAGTAATAGTAATATTTTTGACTTGTTTAAAATAGTTAATATAGTAAATAATGTTCTAATTATTGGTTTATATAAGTTTAGAGTCAGTGATTGAGTCAAGATTTCTAATTGCAGTTGTATTATCAATATAAATATTTAAGAAAATATTAAATAAAACTGCAAATAAAAGAGTAAGAATTGCTTCAAGTTTGATGTAGGTTGAATTAAAATATACTTGTATAGCTGCATTAAATATTATAAATATAACATATTTACAAATCTATTTTATATCACATTTGGTTTTTGAAATTTGTAGATTTTTGATTGATCTATTAGTATAGAAGTGTAATTTATCTGTATTAAGTTAAGTAATAAGGTAATTTAGATTAGTTAGTTGTTTTTAATATAATGGTATATTGATAAATTGTTGAATAAATTGAGCTTTATGTAATAAAAGTGTTATTTGTGATTTTATTAATGAAGTTAATTGGATAATAGTAGTGCTATGTATATGAATTAAAGCTAAGATTTCTTTAAAATCAATTTGAATAGTTATTGAGTTTTTTGATTTGATAGCTGAGTTATAAGATAAAAGAAATAAATGAAAATTTGATATTAGGTAGTTAGTAATTAGTAGTAGTTGTAAGAATTCTGAAGTAAATATACAAATTTCAAAGAATAATATTTGTTATAAAGGGACTTGTTAAGAAATATATAGTATTTGGTTATTTGAATAATATATACAATAAAAGTAGTAAGAGTTTGAGAATAAGAGTGCTAAAATTAGTTTAATTGTATTAAGAAAGATATTGATAGAAGAAAGGTTTATATAAGGCCAAGTTTAGATTGTAGTATTAGATTGATTTAGATGTAAAATTTGAGCAAACCATTTTGGCTGGCAATCTTTATTGGGTTTGTTTATGCATAAGTAAATATTGTTCTATGTGAGAATATTTTTGTTATTTGCAGTTGTAATTTGCTCTAGAAAAATGATTTTATTATTTTTAAGACTATTGATAATAGACATAAATGGGTTGACAAGAAAAATGTTATAGATAGTACAAATATTTTTTAGTATTGATGAGAAAAAAGATAAAATTTGTAAGATAATTGAGAGTAAGATATCATTTAAAGCTAGTTGAAAAAGATGAAAAAGTAAAGTATAATTTTGCATTTTTTGATAATAGTTAGTTAAAGTATTTAATAAAAGTTGAGATGACCATATTTTGGTAAACTATTCTTTAATTCATTAGATACTAATGTTTTTAAGAATTTGTAGTATATTAAATATTTCAAACAATTATTAAAATATTACTTGAAATCAATAAGCTATGCTATGAACTACTCTGGAAATCATATTGCATAAATTTTGCAAACTGGAAAAAACAACAAAGCTTTAAACCTCTCTTTTTCAAACACCTAACTCAAACTAACTATAACAGACAAACTAAATACAACCATCAAACACATACATACTCATGTATATGTGGACTATCTGACCAAGTACACTCAAACTCCAATACATGCCCACCCCTAGGTCATACTATTAGAAAAATCAATATATGGACTATTTTCTGGATCAAATACAATATTTCATTTAACCATATTTTAACTATCCAAATCTAGGTAAGTTTTGACCACTCTAGTAGGTTTAGATCACAAATAAATATGTCTGAGCTTTACTCTTAAATGTAGTTTTCTTCTTTTTGTACTTAAGCTAGTTATATATAGTTAGCAGTTTAATGGTTAGCCCTAACTGCAAGTGTTGACCTTGGCTATAGCATTTATATAGAATTATTTTTGTACATAGTAACTCCATGAAGTTACTAACTTTAAAAACTACCAATAAAGATATAAGCAAGGCCTCACCTTAATACCAAAAAAAAAAAGTATATTAAATATTTGTTCAGTATTAGCTGTACTGACTTTTTGAATAATGTTGTTGAAGGTTGATAAATTAAAAATAAGTGGATTAGTAAGAATTATATTGTTAGTATTTTTTGCTAAAAAAAGCATTTTTTAGTATAGATAGTAAAAAAGCAAGAGAATTTAGATTGTATATTTGTATGAACTAAGATAATTTGAAGTAGATATTCTAATGAAGGTTGTAAAATTAAGTTGAAGAGTAATAAAATTTGTGAAGATGTTATTTTTTTGTGTTAGATAAAAGTAAGAAAGCTTTTAATTTTGGTTTGAATTTGGTCAAAAGTTGGTTTAGAAGATCTTTTGTTATTATAAAAAATACCAAGATATCAAATTATATCTTATGGTTTTCTAAATAGAATTTTTTGTTGATTTATTAAAAGAGTAAGAGTTAGATTTAATAGGAATTTAGGTTTAATGTAAAAAAGATTCAATTTGGTAGTATTAATTTCTATATTATTAAATTTGTATAATTTAGAGATATTATTTATAATATTTTACATTATATTTGTACTTTCACAATGCCAAGTGGTATCATCTATAAAAGCCAATAGTGGAATTGTTATTGAAAAGAATGTTGTGTTAGTTATGAAATTAATAGAAGATTGATATAAAATTTTTAATAAATAGTTTTTGTATTTTTTTAAATAAAGTAAAGAATAGGATTATAGTAAATTTTTTATAAGAGAGGTGAGTATGTTTTGTCTTGTTTAATTTCAGAATTAATTGGTATTTAAGAAGTAAGAACATGAGCAATAATTACTTTAGCAAATTGGTAAAAGTGCAGTTCTGTAATTAGGTTTATTTCTGTTGAAGGAATTTCTATTTTTTGCAAGTATTTTGAAGTCTTGATATATTAATTTTATCAAAAGCCTTGGACATATCTTAAAAGAGAATCTAGGCTTCTTTGTTGATAATTATATAATGTTCAATTATATTATATAAAATTTGTATAGGAAGATATGTAGAGGAGTTTTTTGAAGCTACAAAATTTAGATTTGATAGAAAATTGTTATGAAAAATGATGTTATCTAATCAATTTGTAAATATTTTAGTAAAAGTTTTTTTAAAAAGTTCTATTATAGAAATTGGCAAACTTGATTTAGTATGTAGTTCTAATTAAATTTTTTGGAGATTAGAAAGATATTAGAAGATTTTCAGTTAAGAAAATTTTTTAAAAATAAAAACATTTATTTAGAAAGTGTCAAAAAATGTTTTGTGCTTTAGAGCTAGCATATTTTATATGTTCATAGCAGGTTTCTAAGAGACCTGCTGCTTTTTGATTAGGTAAGTTAGGGATAATGTTTTGCTATTCTTGTTCAGTAATTTCATAAATAAGATTTTGGTAATAGATTTTAAGTTCAGAATATGGTTTATAGAAAGAGTAGAATTCAGATATTAATAAAATATTTTCAAAAAGTTTAGTTTTAAAGTATTTAGTAAAATAAACTTTAATTGCATTTAGTATTTTATCATGTTCA